AGAAAGTCCAGTTGCCTCCTGAAAAAGCACCTTTGGGACAACCATGACCTGGATGACTGAGAATGTCCACAAACACTTCCGGTGCAGAGTTTAAATTAGTCTTGTATCTTGAATACCCCACTCACTATTTGTAAGATGTATAAGAGAAATGAGCTTCGATATCATCCCTAACCATGTAAGAATCAACAAAACACTTCTTCTACCAACACCTGCATTATTGACCACTTTTACAAGGCTACAATTCATTACCATGCTTAGCCCTATATGGAGAAAAAAAAAATTAGGCATAGGCCACACTCCATCTTGGGTGCAGTTGCTCAGGGATTGCACCTGGTCCCTGACCCTCAATTCCATCTGCTTGAAGAACAAGAGACACCAACATGTTTTTCCCCTTCTGGTACATGTAGGAAAGCGATTGCTAAGTGGGTAGGATGTTACTCTCCCTTGCAATTATCAGAAGTACAGTAATTCTTAATGTATCCCCCATAGATTTTTACCCACAAAAGTCTTCCAAGGTAAAATCTGTCTAAATGAAATGAGGTCTGAGCTCTCCCAGGAAGAACTGGACATGTCACCTTAGGTTGTTTTGCAAACAAGTAATTTCTTGCGATCCATGAAACTGAACTGGGCTCAATTTGTCTTCAGTGACAACTTCTGCAACCCAACAAGAAAGACACAGACTCAAGAAATTTTAGAACTGCAGAAAAAACAGTTACTACCAATTTGCCTTCCATTGAGGACCTGTATACTGCACAAGTCGAAAAGAAGGCTGTGAAAATATCTAAGACCCCTCACATCCTGGACGTAAACTGTTTCAACTCCTACCTTCAAAACGATGCTATAGAGCACTGCACACCAGAACAAGTACACGAAGGACAGTTTTTTCCTGAACGCCATCACTCTGCTAAATAAATAATTCCCTCAACACTGTCAAACTATTTACTAAAACTGCACTACTATTAATCTTCTCATCGTTCTTATCAGCCATCTCCTTCCACTTATGACTGTATGACTGTAACCTTGTTGCTGGTTTCTTTACAATTCATATTGACTGTTTCCTAATATGTTTTGATAGCTTATTTATTCCCTATGACTATCATTAATTATTGTACCTTATGATTCTTGACGAATTTATCTTTTCTTTTTATATACACAGAGAGCATATGCACCAAGACAAATTCCTTGTGTGTCCAATCACACTTAGCCAATAAAGAATTCTATTCTATTCTATTCTATTCTATTCTATTCTATTCTATTCTATTCTATTCTATTCTATTCTATTCTATTCTATTCTATTCTAACTCAAACTAGGTAAGGGAAAGCACCCTTGATATTAATTAGCCTCAATGCCACCCATGTAGCACAGCCTGTTTCTTCTCTCCTAAAGTCTTGGTGGAATTTTGTGGAAGCCACCTGCAGTTCAGCTTCTCAATGAACTTTGATATATGGTCTAAGAAGGAAGTGAGAAGTATGAATGGGCTGGCTGTCCTGCTCCTTCTCTTTTGGCTCCTGCCTTCAACAGCTCATAAAATTATGCAAACTGGATGTGTAGTGAGGAACCCTCTGCGAACTGTGGAGGACTATTACAAACCTGGAGATCTCATTATTGGGGGGAATTTGATCCTGGAAAAGTTTGCTCTCTTTGAAATGATGGAGTTTGACCGTCAGCCATCAAAGACAAGAATTACAAAAAGGTATGTTTTACTCAGAAGGAAATAGATTCGAAGAGTTTCTGCATTTTGGAGATTCAGGAGATTCATTTCATAAATAAATATTCTTGTTTTCCCCATGTTTTATTTGTTTTATTTTATGTTATAATATATTATTGTATAACATTATAACACTAAATTTTCATTCAAGTGTGTATTCTGGGTTAAAATATATTTTGATAGTCATATTTATACATCTTCATTATATTTAGTCATCACCATCATATTAATAATATAATAACATTATGTTATAATAACCTTAATACTTAACATTTAACATTGTCTTCTTAATGACTTTCCTCTGTACCATTTCCTCTCTTTATATCTCTTTCTTTCTGTTTCTATTATCTAGCCATTGATAAAATGTGTCCTATATCAAAAAATATTCTGTTTCTTCTTTATCCTTAATAGCAAGTGTTAATCTATCCATTTCTGCACAATCTAATAATATCACATACCCAAGAGCTAGAAAACATTGGATAAAAATACAGACATGGCTGGAAAAAATGATAAAACTACATATAGATCTGAAACTAGAGATATTTTTGCTGGGCATTCTACCAGAAAAATATGATAAAAAGACTGCATATTTGATTTTGCATATATTAACGGCAGCCAGAATTGTATTTGCACAACAATGGAAAAGTGATGAGACCCCTTTCTGAGAAGAATGTAATTAAAAAAAAACATAAATGTTTATTCTACTGAGGCTTGCAGGTTCTGCTGTAGTTCAGAAGCCTTGGTGCTTTCCTGGATAAAGAAACCTTCTTATAGAATAGGGTAGAATGTTCCAGTTTCTTCAGGAAGATGATAAACAGCACAATAAGTGAGGAAGGGTATACATGTCAGAAATTGTGCTGGCTTAGTGAAAAAGGTCATTTCTATTATTTATCTGGACAAAAAAGTCATGCTGGAAAACTCAAAGAAAAGGCAAATCTAGTTACAATGGATAGCTAATCAATCTAATCAATCAATCAAGACCGAGTGGCTGTGGTTTCCGACGTCCCGATATAGTCAGTTGGTGCCATCACTGACTATTGGGGATGAGTCATTGCCCCCCATGGAGAGGGTTCGCAACTTAGGCGTCCTCTTGGACTCACGGCTGTCTTTAGAAGAACACTTGACGGCTGTGGCCGGGAGGTCTTTTTATCAGGTTCGCCTGATTCGCCAGTTGCGTCCCTTTCTGGATCGGGACTCATTAAATACGGTCACTCATGCCCTCATCACTTCACGCCTGGACTACTGTAATGCTCTCTACATGGGGCTCCCCTTGAGGAGCACCTGGAAGCTCCAGCTGGTCCAGAATGCGGCTGTGTGGGTAGTTATGGGAGCAGCATGGCGCTCCCATATGGCTCCCCTCCTGTGCGAGCTGCACTGGCTCCCTGTGGTCTTCTGGGTGCGCTTCAAGGTCTTAGTTACCACCTTTAGAGCGCTCCATGGCTTAGGACTGGGGTACTTACGAGACCGCCTTCTGCCACCAATAGCCTCTCACCGCCCAGTACGCTCTCATAGAGAGGGGCTTCTCAGGGTGCCGTCAGCCAAACAGAGTCGACTGGCGGCCCCCAGGGGGAGAGCCCTTTCTGTGGGGGCACCCACCATCTGGAACGAGCTCCCTCCAGAGATACAGAAGATTCCGGATCTGCGCACTTTCCGCCGGGCCCTCAAAACATTCCTGTTTCAGCAGGCCGGCCTGGCCTAACTTTCCCTTTATATTGCTTTTGATTTTATTTTAAACTGGGATGTCTTGAATTATCTAGGACCAGAGTGTTTAATATATTTTAATTGGTTTTTTTAACGTTTGTATTACATGTATTTTTATCGTTCGCTGTTCACCGCCCTGAGTCCCTCGGGAATAGGGCGGTATATAAATTTAATAAATAAGCAAATAAATAAATCTTGTGGCCTTCAGTGGAGTATTGTGAACAGAGTGGTTCCCAGAGCTGAAATACTGTATTTTTCAGAGTATAAAACAGACTTTTCCCCCCTAAAAGAGGATGAACATTTGGGTGTGTCTTATACACTCAATGTAGCCCCACACAACCACCGGCCCCCAACCTTTGGCCTCTGCAAGTCCTCTCAAACGGAGCTTTTGGATGCTGCAAACGCAGCCTCTCAAACAGAATTTTTTTCCTTATTTTCCTCCCTCCAAAATAAGGTGTGTTTTATACTCCGGACCATCTTATACTCAAAAAAATACAGTACTCTTTAAAGGGATAATCAAACTGCTAAATCTATTAAAGATATTTCTCATGTGGATGAGTCATGGCTGCTTAGGGTTGTAAATGTGTAAATGTCTCAGCCGCTCTCTACATGGACCATGGTTTCACGAGGATGGTCCATCCACACAATCTTCTTAATCACATTTTCTTGTCCAAGAACACACAACAAATATATTCACCACCTCAAAGTCTGGGAGAGCACCCCTACAAACACACTTAAGGAAAGGCAACCTCCCTTAGCACCCAAAATGTTCTCTCTAATATTTCCCAATGTTTTCTCATTTCAGCATTGAATTCAAGAATTATCCACTAATTCTGGCCTTGGTACATGCAGTCACAAAAATCAACAAGGATTTGGTTTTGCTGCCCAACATCACACTCGGCTTCCATATTTATGACAATAAGGAGACTGTTAGGAGGATTTCCTGGAACAGCCTCTCTCTTCTGTCCACACGAGGCCAAATGGTTCCAGCTTACAAATGTGACAAGCAGGATATATTGCTCTCTGTTGTTGGAGATGTCAACTCCCAATACTCAAGGCAGATGGCCTCCATCTTCAGCATCTTCAAGGTCCCACAGGTAAAGGGGTCATATATGGTATCTACATAAAAATTAAAAAAATAATTATATTTATTAGTGCTTAAGCAAAGTACACTTGTAGAATAAACCAATTTCGTGTATACATAGCAAAGAAAAAGCATTCAGCTGCATGATTTTCACACAACATTTGAAATTGGAATTTTTAATTGTAACTAGAAGCCTTTCACTCCATTCGAAGTGAATCGATCGAATTGGGAGGAGAAAAAACTACTGATACTGAACCTTAACATAAAGATATAATAACGTCATAATAAACTGTGACAAATCTCCTTTTCTGCAGCTCGGTTTTCACTTCCTCAAGTTCACTCAGGAAGACAGAACTGTGTTTCCTTCCTTTTTCCGGATCAGCCCCAATGAACTTCCTCAGTATGAGGGTTTAGTCCGGCTGCTCCTGCATTTCCAGTGGAACTGGGTTGGGCTGGTGGCCCCTGAAAATGACAATGGAGAACTTTTCATCTCAACTCTGAGGCCGATGCTCCAGGAGAAGGAGATCTGCCTGGCCTTCACTCACCTGTTGGAATCTGTATCTGTTGCCTTTTCAGCGGAAAAGTGTATTTCTTTAATCCCAACGTGGAATAAAGCTGAGGTGATTATTGTATTTGGAGAATCCAAGTGTATTAAAACTATATATGCATCTCTGCATTATTTTAAAAAATCCAGTAATTCTGCAGTTAAAATTGTTTGGATCCTGACTTCCCATTGGGAGATAAGTGCATCTCACCAAATGTTGAATTATCTAAAGCCTTTCCATGGTGCTTTGCATTTCAGGGATCACAGCCATGATATCCCAGAATTCAGGCATGTTCTTCTATCTTTAGACCCCTTGAACCCTCAAGGAGATGTCTTTCTCCCGCTATGGTGGGAAAGGATTTTTGGCTGCAAGATCCATAAACCAGGAGTGAGACTTAAAAAGGGGGAAAAACAATGTACGGGAAAGGAGAATTTAAAGGATGTGCCATCTTACATGTTTGAAACAAGCATGACAGGCGAAAGTTACAATATCTACAATGCTGTTTATGCTGTGGCACATGCTTTACATACCATGCGTGGATCAGGAGCACAATCAGCCATGATGAGGCTTGGAAAAAGGATCACAAATGTCCAGTCATGGCAGGTAATTTCTCTAAATTTTACCCAGTCCACAGATCCTTATAATGTCCCATGGACATTTCTTCCTGGAATAGAATAGAATAGAATAGAATAGAATAGAATAGAATAGAATAGAATAGAATAGAATAGAATAGAATAGAATAGAATTCTTTATTGGCCAAGTATGATTGAACATACAAAGAATTTGTCTTTGGTGCATATGCTCTCAGTGCACATCAAAAGACAAGATACATTTGTCAAGAATCATAAGGTACAACACTTAATGATAGTCATAGGGTACAATCAAATCATACTAGGAAACAATCAATATAAATCATAAGGATACAGCAACAAGTTACAGTCTCACACAGTCTTAAGTGGGAGGAGATGGGTGATAGGAAGGATGAGAAGATTAATAGTAATGCAGACTTACTTAATAGTTTGACACAGTTGAGGGAATTATTTGTTTAGCAGAGTGATGGCGTTTGGAGAAAAACTGTTCTTTTGTCTAGTTGTTCTGGTGTGCAGTGCTCTATGGCATTGTTTTGAGGATAGGAGTTGAAACAATTTATGTCCAGGATGCAAAGGGTCTGTAGATATTTTCACAGCCCTCTTTTTGACTCATGCAATATACAGTTCCTGGAAGGCAAGTTGGTAGTAATTGTTTTTTTCTGCAGTTAATTTATGAAATATGTCCATGTTGCCCATCTAACCATAGCTGAAAATAAACTAAAGTATAAAATAGCAAACAGCAAACAAATAACCATTATTAAAATATGATAAAATAACTATAATGATTTGATTAAAAAGACAATGCATAACTTAACCAGTTTTCAATAAGATCCATAAAGAAACATTCTTCCTATAAGGTCCTGAAAGATCTTGAATGGTTATCTGATTTTCATGGGATGAAACCCTATTCCAGGTAGGAGATGTCAATCCCCAGACCAAGGGAGGCAAGATCTGGTTTCCTTAATGCAAGATGTTTCAAAAGGCCAGTGGAAGTCCTGGCCACATTTAAAGAACCACCAAAGTTTCTTTTTGCATGCTGCCTGCATCCAACTAACCTGTAATAAGATGCTAGGCTTAATTTATTTTGACCTGCTTTGTTTTTAATGGCTTACTATCCTGGGTGAACATGGTCCATTTGTTTAGCTGCTTTCTTTGTGCTGCTCAGCTTACTGTGTGACGGGAACCCCTGTGAATCTCAGCACTCACCGAAGGGCTCCAATGCAAAGTGAATCAAAGATCTCCTTTTTTTTCTTTTGAGATTTGTCTGGCTGTTCTGCAATTAAGGCTTATTAGCAATAGAATTAGCATTTAGACTTATGTACTAATTCACTATGAGTTACAGCCCTCTCTAAGTGGTTTACAGAGTCAATATATAGCCCCCAACAATCTGTGTCTTTGTTTTACCTACCTCAGAAGGATGAAAGGCTGAGTTAACCTTGAGCCGGTGAGAATCGAACTGTCAAACTGCTGGCAATCAGCAATCGGGAGAAATAGCCTGCAATACTGCATTCTAACCACTGGGCCACCACGGCTCATTAATCTGTTAGGGCGGGGGATCCATCTCTAATTCTCCAATATGAGATTCACATGATTTCATGATGTTCTCGATCACTCAGTTATCCATCAAGCTAACATGTAAAGCTTTAAAGATTTGTAATTATCTCCTAAAATGATGGTCAGCAGAGAATGATAGAATCCATGATGTCTCATTTTTAATTACTCCACTATCCAAGAGTCTCTTTTCTTTCAGCTTCTTGCCTATTTGAAGAATGTCAGGTTCAATAACAGTGCTGGAAATGAAGTCTCGTTCTTAGAAAATGGACCCATGTCTGCTCGTTACGATCTTCTCAACTGGATTTTCCTCCCCAATCAAACTTTTGTCCACATGAAAGTCGGGCAAATGGATCCCAGGGTTTCCCAAGGCCAGAATTTTACCATCAACTCCAATGCAATCATCTGGGCCAAAAAGGTGGGCTGGAAGGAAATGTCCTGAATTCAGAAAAAGGTTCATGTTCTCCTGGACATGCATAGAGCTTTCTTCCCAAGGTCGCTCATGCTGCTTTACCCCTTGTGAAAAAGCCTCATGTAGACCACAGTTTCCTCCCAAATGTCCTGGCTGGGCTTGCTTCCTCAGGAGAAAAAATATGGTGCAGGTCAGCTGAGGGAGCAGATAATTGCAGGCACTTAAACTGCAGGGTGATGATGATGGATACAGTTGGGTCTTTGCACAATGACTCTCGCTGGGATGACTGGGGGCTTTACGCTTTGAGGCTATGCTGGAGCAGCAGTGGCTTCATGCTGTTCTACAATGCTGGGACATTTAAAGCTTTCGGCTACACTGTGGCTCAAGGGTTATTTATTTATTTATTTATTTATTTATTTATTTATTTATTTATTTATTTATTTATATTTATATACCATCCTTTTCCCGAAGGACTCGGGTGGTTAACAGCCAACAGATAAAACACAAGAAATACAAAATTTAAAAACAGTATTAAAATCCAATTAAATTAATTTGGCCCACAATTAAAACACCCCTATATTAAGACCGATAATTAACAATTTAAGAATTAAAACAATTTAAAAGAGTTAGGCCAATCTGGCTTGCTGGGATAAAAACGTCTTTAGGGAACGGCGAAAAGTGCAAAGATCCGGGATCCTCCGTATCTCCGGGGACAGCTCATTCCAGAGTGTAGGTGCCCCCACAGAGAAGGCTCTCCCCCTGGGGGCCACAAGTCAACATGTTTGACCGACGGCACCCTGAGGAGGCCCTCTCTGTGGGAGCGCACTGGTCGGTGGGAGGCTATCGGTGGCAGAAGGCGGTCTCGTAAATACCCGGGTCCTAAGCCATGGAGCGCTCTAAAGGTGTAACCAATACCTTGAAGCACACCCGGAAGACCACCGGGAGCCAGTGCAGCTCGCGCAGGAGATGTGTTGCATGGGAGCGCCGAGTCGCCCTCATAACCACCCGTGCGGCCGCATTCTGGACCAGCTGAAGCCTCCGGGTGCTCCTCAAGGGGAGCCCCATGTAGAGAGCATTACAGTAGTCCAGGCAGGATGTGACGAGAGCATGAGTGACTGTGACTAAGGCATCCCGATCCAGAAAGGGACACAACTGGCAGATCAGGCAAACCTGATAAAAAGCCCCTCTGGCCACAGCCCTCATATGCTCTTCTAAAGACAGCCGTGCATCCAGGAGGACGCCCAAGTTTAGTGCCTCAATTAGGTTCAATAAGTGGGGAGTACCTTTAGCAATAGCAATAGCACTTAGGCTTATGTACCACTTCATAGTGCTTTATAGCCATCTCTAAGCTGTTTACAGAGTCAGAAGGATGGAAGGCTGAGTCAACTTTGAAGAGGGGAGAATTGAACTGTTGTCGGTTGGAAAAGTTGCACTTTAACCACTGTGCCACCAAGGCTTTTAAAGAAGAGAAGAGAAGAGAAGAGAAGAGAAGAGAAGAGAAGAGAAGAGAAGAGAAGAGAAGAGAAGAGAAGAGAATTTCTCCTTAGTTCTAGGTTGCTTCTCTCCTTGATTAGTTTCCACCCATTGCTTCTTCTCCTGCCTTCAGGTGCTTTGGAGAATAAATTGACTCCCCCTTCTTTGTGGCAGCTCCTGAGATATTGGAACACTGCTAACATGTGAGCCCTCATCCTTCTTTTCATCATGAGATAAGTGCCAGTCCCAAACATCAATTGGTTAGCTGGTTGTGCCACTGGTTTCAAATCTCCAGGAACTCTTCTGGTTGATGTTTCATGATGGTGAACCTGTTCTTCTAAAGACCTTTTGAAGATAGAGCTTTCAAGGGGGAAATTAAATGATGCATGACCATCAAATAGGCCATCTCAATCTTTTATCTTTTGTCTTTTAGAAGGTGCCCTTTGCCAGGTGTGGCATGAAGAGGTGCCAGGCAGGAGAGAGGAGAAGAGTTCCAGAGGGTGAGCAGGTTTGCTGCTACAAATGTGACCCTTGTCCAGAAGGCACCATTTCTAATCAGACAGGTAGAGCAATCTTCAAATGTAGATCTTTCACGTTCAGGGAAACCATTCAATATATTAAAATATTAAGTAATTTTAGTGATTTGTGGTAGGTCTGACATGCTTCACAACAGAGATGCAAATTGTTGTGCCCCCACCAGCCTAATTTCCCATAGGATTGGCAAGATTGCTCTCTTCCCCAAATTTACAAGGTGTATTCAAGACAAAAATTTGCAGATTTCTTGCTCTCTTTTCCATTCCTCTAATCACATACCAATAGGAAAAGCAACTATGATCATTTCCCTGAATGTATGGTACAATGTGGTTGGGTGTTCCAATTTTGTATTATTTCACCCCTGGTTTTTGTGCATTTGTGTGTTACCTTATGATTTTATAACACTCCGAATGATGATGAAACTAAGTAGCAAAAAGCAGGATTCCTGATTGAGAGAGCAGTCAATCTTCTTAGGCTTCCATTACAAAGTGGGGGGGAAAATCAAGTGCCAACCCTTCTCTCCCTCAGAAAAAAATTGCAAAATGTGGTACAGATGATTACAGAGACAGAGATCTCAATATTTGAACAACTGATCCTCCAGTCTCATTTTGAACCAAAAACAAGTTGATTTTTACAGGGCAGGATAAGCTGCCCAGGGTGTCCTTTCTTATTGAATTGATAGATGTGGAAAGGAGTCATATCTGAGATGTGAGGCAAGAGGTATAATTCTTACTATGCTTGCTCTAGAAATATTTAGACAAAGACTCTTCATTTCAGATGCAGCCCGCTGTGACTCCTGCCCAGAAGACCAATATCCCAACATGGACAAGGACCAATGCATTGCGAAGAAGATCCACTTCCTTGCCTATCAAGACACTCTGGGATACTCTTTAGCATCTCTCACTCTTTCTCTCTCTTTGATCACATTGGCAGTCCTAGCAATTTTCCATAAGCATCGTGACACACCAATCGTCAAGGCCAACAATCGAGATCTGACATATATCCTCCTGCTCTCCCTCCTGCTCTGTTTCCTCTGCTCTTTCCTCTTCATTGATCAACCTGGGAAGTTCACCTGTCTTTTACGGCAAACTGCCTTTGCCATTCTCTTTTCCCTTGCAGTTTCCTCTGTCTTGGCAAAAACTGTCATGGTGGTTCTGGCCTTCATGGCCACCAAGCCAGGAAACAAAACAAGGAAACTCTTAGGAAAACCACTGACCAACTCCATTGTCATAGTGTGTCCCCTGGTCCAAGCACTTCTTTGTGCCACCTGGCTGGCAACTTCTCCCCCATTTCCCAGATTGGACTTCCATTCCTTGGTAGGAGAGACAATCTTGGAATGTAATGAAGGCTCTGCTTTAATGTTTTATGCTGTCCTTGCCTTCCTGAGTTTTTTGGCCCTTGTCTGTTTCACTGTGGCTTTTTTGGCTAGGAAACTGCCTGACAGCTTTAATGAAGCCAAGTTCATTACTTTTAGCATGCTGGTCTTTTGCAGTGTTTGGATCACCTTCCTCCCCACCTACCTGAGCACGAAAGGGAAGTCCATGGTGGCCGTGGAGATCTTCTCCATTTTGGCCTCTGGAGCTGCTCTTTTGACTTGTATTTTTTTCCCCAAATGCTACATTATCCTACTAAGACCCAATCTGAATTGTAGGGAAAATATGATAAGAAACAAAAATCTTTGACCTTTTTCTCGTTATTTATATTTTGAAAGAAAGTTTTCTTATTATTCTCTTGACTTTTGTCTTTATTCATTCTGAGCCTTCTCTTTCCTGTCTTCATTTTGCAGCTTTGGGCTATCTGCTGATATTCTGCCTTAGTTAAGTGTCCCTCTTTCCATTTTTTTGAACTTGTCCTTTGAAACATATAAGGTAGACAGTACACTGCAGTAAACCATCAAGAAAATCTAGGTATTTAAGGTAAAGGTTCCCCTCACACATATGTGCTAGTCGTTCCCAACTCTAGGGGGCAGTGCTCATCTCCGAGCAGTTAGCACTGTCTGAAGACGTCTCTGTCGTCATGCCAAAGGCACACAGAACACTGTTACCTTCCCACCAAAGGTGGCCCCTATTTTTCTACTTGCATTTTTTATATGCTTTCGAACTGCTAGGTTGGCAGAAGCTGGGACAAGTAATGGGACCTCACTCCGTTCCACAGCACTAGGGATTCAAACTGCTGAACTGCCGACCTTTCGATTGACAAGCTCATTGAACCACTGTGTCCCTTATCTAGGTGTTTACTAGGAGTCAAAAACAACCTGATGACATTTTAAAAAATCCTCAGTAAGAATCTATGTATGAGAGGCCTGAAGTATCTCTAAACATTTTACATTTCTGCTTTAGGAAATTGGTTCCATTGTTGGGCTGCAGAGACACCTAGTAAGGGTCAGGGCCGGATTTTCCTATAGGCTAACTAGGCTTCAGCCTAGGGCCTCAAGATCAAGAGGGGCCTACATTCAAATTGTTAGCAAAATTAAAATTACACTTTCACTATAGGTGAAAGGGCCTCATAAGTGGAATAGCCTAGGGCCTCTTTTCATCTAAATCCGGCCCTGGTAAGGGTTTACCACACAGGTGGGTTCTACTTACCTTTACTACCAGTTCGCAATGGGGCCGCACTCTGCATATGCAGAGGCTTCCTGATGACGTCTGGGTCAGTGGGCAGAGCTTCTTACTGGTTTTACTATCGGTTCTTGTGAACCAGTTTGAACCGGGGGCAACCCACCACTGGTTTACCAATCTTGCAACAATTCCCCTCACATCCTGGACATAAACTGTTTCAACTCCTACACTCCTGCATTGCACACCCGAACAACTAGACACAAGAACAGTTTTTCCCCGAACACCATCACTCTGCTAAACAAATAATTCCCTCAACACTGTCAAACTAGTTACTAAGTCTGCACTGCTATTAATCTTCTCATCGTTCCCATCACCCATCTCCTTCCACTTATGACTGTATGACTGTAACTTTGTTGCTTGTATTCTTCCAATTTAGATCGATATTGCTTCCTGATTGCTTATTTGTACCCTATGACTATCATTAAGTGTTGTACCTTATGATTCTTGACGAATGGATCTTTTCTTTTATGTACACTGAGAGCATATGCACCAAGACAAATTCCTTGTGTGTCCAATCACACTTGGCCAATAAAAAAATTCTATTCTATTCTATTCTATTCTATTCTATTCTATTCTATTCTATTCTATTCTATTCCATTCCATTCCATTCCATTCCATTCCATTCCATTCCATATTTTCCATGTAAACCTAGAAATAGCCTTTTGCCATTGTTTCAATGAAATATCAGCACCACTACTGATAGAGTCTGGAATAAAAAACAGTCTGGTAAAAACCTTCAGCATAATTACACTCAAAAAAGTGTAAATGTTGTAGTTGTAAGAGTCACCTCGAGGTATCTGACCTTTTACGTCACCTTAAAATGTGATGTCTTTATCAAAAATTCATAATCTTTAGTCCTATTTTAAACCAGCATTTTTTCCTGTTTATTTTAAAACTGGTTAAGTCCCAATATTGGTCCTCCTTTCATATCCAACGACCTTTCAGGTATTGGGACAAAATTTCTTTATCAGAAAAATATAGCATAACACTTTTTCTGGTTTCAACTACTTTAAACTAGTATTAACATCTTGTGAGATCTTGCTACCTAATTTTAACTTCTATGGGAGAAATTAATTTCTAATTTTACCCCTGACAAGTATAAGTAAATCAGTTATTTGGTACAAATTTTGGAATGATTGTTCAAACTTACTAGAATACCACTCACTGTCCTGAGCCACTATGTCCCACTAGCACTCAATACTATCCAAACAAACTATGGCTCAGATGAAACTCCATCTTGTTTCCAGGGATTCAGTTTGATGTAGGTCAAATACCCAACTTCACCTTGACTCTCAAGTCTATCTGCACTAGGTATTAACAACAAGGGACACAAACATGTTTTCTTCATTCTGGTTTATAAATAAAATCTATTGCTGAGTGAGTAGGAGGATTCCTTTTCTTTGCAATTGTCAGAAGAGTAATTCTTAATGTATCCCTCTGGATTTCTGTCCTCCAAATTATTCCAGGATAAAAGCTGCTTTGAAAATATGTTCCAAAGTCTTCCACTAGGGGCAGGATATGACAAATTAGCTTGTTTTGAAAAGAGTCATTCTTGGGTTTGTTGAGACTCAGCTATCCTTACTTTTCTCTTTGTTCATGCCTGCAATTCAGCTTCTGCACGAATCTTGATTTCTGACTTAGGAAGGACAAGAATGACTGGGCTGCCTCTCCTGCTGCTGCTCTTCTGCCTCTCTCCTCCAACTGCTGCTAAGAGGAGGCAAACCATATGTGTGTTGAGGAATTTGTTCAAGCCTTATGGAAAATGGAACTATTACAGGCCTGGTGATCTCATTATTGGTGGGAATTTACCCCTGGGAACTCTTATGTCCTCCAGTGTCCCACGTTTTCAGAAGGAACCATTCCGGCTTCCTTTTAAAATTTTGTAAGTTTCACCTGGCAGGGAAAGATGCGTGAATTTCTGGTTGTGTTCTGGATTCAGGGATTCCTTTTAGAAATCCTTGTTCTACTGTTCTAATGTTCTAGTGTAGTTCTTCTTGTCTTTGATCATAAAACAGGTTAGGATTCTCAATCATTCTAGAACTCTATATCCGGAAAGTGATAGACCATATAAAAAGTGAGGAAGGAACGACAAATTTGAAACTGTGCTGGCCTAAAACAAAGTTGACATAATGTTCATTTGGGAAGAAAAGCATGGTAGAAAACTCAAAGAAAAGCTTAATCATTTTTCAATGTATGGTACTGTAATAAGACCAGTTTTGTGTTGTGGTGACCAGTACAAAAATATTTTGAGACATTAGAAAGCATCCAGAGAAGAGCCACAAAGATGATTACGGGACTGAAGGCTAACATGTACAAAGAATGGTTACAGAAATGGGGTCTAATGAAAAGAAGAAGTAGGGGGGGGGGACATGATAGCACTGTTCCAATATTTAAAGAGCTTCTACAAAGACAAGAGGATCAAACTATTTTCCAAAGCACCAAGATAAGAAACAACAGACAGAAGATAGAGTAATTAATAAGATTATGGAATGTGCAGAAATGGACAGACTTACAAAAGAATTACAAGATAAAGAGGAACATGATTATTATCTAGTATGGGAAAAGTGGTATACCTGGTTGAAAAATAGAAAAAGGAAAAAAGAATAGGGAGTAATTGGAGTTACAGAAACAGGAACATAAATCACTAACATAAATTAACAATGAATCATAAAGATAGATGTATGAGTAAGATCAAACAGGGAAGAGTCAAAACACAAATAAGAGCATACATTACTGTTGTTTATTTGACAATATATATTTGACAAAATGTATATTTGAAATCTTTGTTTACATGTTTTGTTCTGTATGTTTTGTTGTCACTAGTTCTGTTTTGTTTGTACTTTTAAACAAATAAAAATTTATTTAATTAAAACAAAATGATTGATGCCATTAAATTTCCCATCCATAGTCTGGCAAAAATTTAATATTACAAACTTAGGTGATATGTGTATGTTTATATGTGATGAATATAATTTCAATACAGATCTGGTGTCCTTTTTGTTTTTGCTTTTGGCATGACTTTAAGATTCATCTTCCAAACTTTCCTGGATTTGAATGCCCAGGATGATGGATGAAAGTCAATGAAATATGGGTATGCCATCTAGTAAATGCTTGATTACCAATTGGATATCAATATTTTTTCTTAGAAATATATTGACATGTCATTAATTGTGATTGTAATTCATCTATCATGTTCTTCAAAGTAGCATATTAGAATCTGGTGCCAAATAACTTCTTAAATTGCTTGTGAACAAGATATTTTCCATTGGAGAAGGAAAAAATGAGACCATTTACAGTAAATGTCAAATACGTTATTGGAATATAATTGAATTTCATTAAAAATAATCATTCCATTCAAAAAAAGAAAAAGAAAAAAAAAGAAACAACCATTGGAAACTAACCAAGGAGAAAAACAACTTAGAACTAAGAAGAAATTTCCTAATGGTGAAAGCAATTAACTAATGGCACAGCTTGCCTTTCTCCTTTGTTGCTAAGCCATACAATTTTAATCAAATGGCATCTATGAAAACAACAACAACACACAACTCAATGAAATCTGTGAATTGCTGAATGTCCCCAGCACACACTTCTCCCCTGTAATGTTTCCAATGTTTTCTTTACTATAGACCCATACTCAAGAAATACCAGCAGTTCCTGGCCTTAGTGTTCGCAGTCACAGAGATCAACAAAGATTTGGTTCTCCTCCCCAACATCAGCCTTGGCTTCCAGATTTGTGACAATGTTCGGATGGAGAGGAAGATTTCTTTAATCAGCCTCTCCTTTCTCTCCACACGAGGCCAAATGGTTCCAGGTTACAAATGTGACAGGCAGGACAATCTGCTCTCTGTCATTGGAGGTGATAATCCCAAATCCTCAAGGCAGATGGCCTCCATCTTCAACATCTACAAGGTCCCACAAGTAAGAGGGATCCATTGGATACAGTATGGTGTAGACAAAGAATGGAAACACACACAGAAGACAAGAATGTAGATGATGTTGCTGAGGAGAAAATCCTATTCATTTATTTTATTTTATGTTTCAAGATATATAACTCCAACAGACCGATAATGAAATAATTCTGTACTTGCCAAGAAGAATTAATTTCTAACTTTCATAAAAGTTTACCCACCATTTCATTGCAATTTATTACCTGTATCAGGTTAACAATTTCTTAGCTTTTGAAATCTTACAACCAGACAAAATATACTGCTCAAAAAAATAAAGGGAAGACAAGCAGAAGACATCCGAGATCTGAATGAATGAAATAGCCTTATTAAGTACTTTGTTCGTTACATACAGTAGTTTATACACTGCTCAAACAACTAAAGGGAACACAAAACTACTGTATGTAACGAACAAAGTACTTAATAAGGCTATTTCATTCATTCAGATCTCGGATGTCTTCTGCTTGTCTTCCCTTTATTTTTTTGAGCAGTGTATATAACTATCAGCTCTTCCTAGGAAGAGAAGCAGCTTAATCTTATTTTAATCAAAAGTAGGACTGCCCGACTGCTAGGTAAAAAAGCATACAATAGGGATCCCTAAAGTCAGCACAAAACTTTACTTTGTCTTTGAAAGAGAAATCTCTGTTTCTGCAGCTCGGTGTTGGCTTTGAGTTCCCTCAGGAATACAAACCAGTTTATCCTTCCTTCTTCCGGATTAATCCCAGTGACTTTCCTGAATGTGTGGGTTTAGTCCAGCTGCTCCTGCATTTCCAGTGGAACTGGGTTGGCCTTGTGACTTCTGAAGATGACAGTGGAGAACATTTCATCTCATCTCTGATGCCAATGCTGAAGGAGAAGGAGATCTGCCTGGCCTTCAATGAAAAGTGGAAATCTGAAAAATTTACTGTTGCACTAAATAAACTAATGTTCAAAATTTTGTTTAAAGTTGAAGTCATTATTCTGTTTGGAGACTCCACTGATATTGCAAATTTTTTGACAGTTCTGAACGTTTGTGTAAAATATAGAAAGGTCGAGAATGTTTGGATCCTAACATCTCATTGGAAATTTACTCTGGTTGGAGACCTTTTTCAAGGTGTAAAAATTTTGCATGGGGCTTTGCAGTTTAGGGACCAGACTGGCAATGTCTCAGAATTCAGCCACTTCCTCCTGTCTTTAGACCATTTGATCAAAGAAGGCGACGTCTTTCTCATGAATTGGTGGGAAATGCTCTTTGACTGCCTTAGTCCTAAACTAGGCAGGGTCCTTCCAAAAGGGGAACAACAGTGTACAGGAAAGGAGAATTTACAGGATCTTCCAGATGTAATTTTTGAAATGAACATGACAGGTGAAAGTTACAATATCTACAATGCCATTTATGCAGTGGCACACGAATTGCATGCAATTTATGGATCAGTAGCGCGACCAGCTATGCTGAAGCTTGGAAAGAGGATCTCAAATGTCCATCCATGGCAGGTAATCTCTGCGACATTTTATCCAGTCCACAGATCAATAGAGAGGAAGCTTCTCATACGCATTTCTTGATATCGTATCAAGGGATATCATATCATTGCATCTCTGAACAGATTAAAACAGCAATTAGTTTAACAAAGCAATAATATGAATTAAATATAATACCGTATTTTTTGGAGTATAAGATGCACCTTTTCCCCCCAAAAAAGTGGGTGAAAATCAGGGTGTGCCTTATACTCCGAATGCCCAGCTTCTCAAAGGGAGGTTTCAGAGGCTGAAAAAAGCATCAGAAATGAAGCTTCAGAAAAAAAAGTTTCCAAACAGAGCTTAGAAAAGAAGCCCCCAAACAGAGCTTCAGAAAAGAAGCCCCCAAACAAAGCTTCAGAGGCTTTTTTTCTGAAGCTCTGTTTCGGAGGCTTTCAGAGGCAGATTTTTTTTTTCTTCCTGAAACAGAGTTTCAGAAGTTTCAAAGGCAGAAAAAAAAGCAAAAAAAAAAAAAAAAAAAAGCAAGGCACAGAGCTCACAACCAAGGAACCTGTTGCTAAAATTCACCTCTAGGAACAGCTGATTGAGGTATTCCGGGAGGCCTCCACTTGCCAATCAGCTTTTTTCTTATTTTCCTCCCAAAAAGCTAAGGTGTGTCTTATTCTCCGAAAAATACGGTACTTTGTTGAAAGAGGGGACAAAAGAAAAGTCATCTAAACCACTTGTGCATAATATCCATAGAGGGAAAATCTTCGTATATGGTCCTGAAAAGGTACTCAACAGTTTCCTGAGTTTCAGGTGGTGACCAGGGAGGAGATGTCATCCCAGAACATTATGATAATCTGGGTGCATTTCAGGGATGGGTTCTAAAACTTTTTACTACCGGTTCTGTGGGTGTGGCTTATTTTGTGGGCATGGCTTGATGGTCATGTGACAATTATTTAGGATTTAGCAGAGGTACTGGTCTACCAGGCTTTTAACTGCTTCCAGAGCTGTACCGATCTACCCATTTATTTTTTGCAGGCACTGGTCTACCCATTTATTTCTGCAGGCACTGATCTACTCATGTATTTTTGCAGGCACTGGTTTACCCATTTATTTTTGCAGGCACTGATCTACTCATGTATTTTTGCAGGCACTGGTCTACTCATTTGTTTTCTTTTAACACTGATCAGCTGTAGGGCAGCCCTTTGAAGCCGCGCGGCAAGAGTTTAAATCGTTTTTTTCCCTCTAGCCATCAGCTGGGACTCAGGAGGCAGCAATAGATTGGGGGTGGAGCCAAATAAAAGATAAGAATAATGCAGGAGTTGGGGGGGCACGGGGGGTGGTGGGCATGGGTGGTGGTGGGCACGGGGGGGGGGGCAGAACCGGTTCGGTGACATCATATCGTCACCGCTACCGGCTCAGGAGAACCGGGCCGAACCAGGAGGAACCCACCACTGGTGCATTTGTGCAAGATGCAAGATGTTTCAGCAGGACAGTTGAGGTTCTAATGGGTATATCTGCAGAACCTCCTCAGTTTCCCTCAGTATTTAGCTTGAATCCAGCCTATAAAAGATACTCAGCTCAATTCATTTTAACCTCAAATTATGTTTCTATGAGTTACCATCTTGTGTGACTCCACCCCATTTGTTTAGTTTGCTGTTTCTTGTAGTGTTCAGCTTCTTAACAGAACAGAATGACAGAATTGGAAGAGACTTTGGAGGTCTTCTAGTCCAACCCCCTACTCAAGCAGGAAGCCTTTATAGCATTTCAGATAAAAGACTGTCCAATCTCTTCTTACAAACCTCCAGTGTTGAAGCACCCCACAACTTCTGGAGGCAGGTTGTTCCACTGATTAATAGTAACTTCTAACTGTCAGGAAATTTCTCCTTAGTTCTAGGTTGATTCTCTCCTTGGTTAGTTTCCATCCATTGTTTCTTGTCCTGCCTTCCAAATATCACGTGAGGAAAACCATACAATGAAAAATTGGGATGTGGTTTTAAAATCTTTGTGTGTAAGTACAGGTAGTCCTTGAGTTACAACAGTTCCTTTAGTGACCATTCAAAGATACAACAGCATCAGTGGTGGGATTCAACCAGTTCGCACCACTTCGGCAGAACCGGTTGTTAAATTGCTGGCTGGCCCCTCCCCTCCCTGCCCAGCCCCTTCCAGAAGTCCCCATGCACCCCGTTTTGGCTCCCAGGAGGCTGCAGGGAGGCCTACTAGGCCCAAAACGGGGCAGGTGGGAGGAACGCCCCCCCCAGCCTGTTTTTGCTCCCAGGAGGCTGCAGGGAGGCCTACTAGGCCCAAAACGGAGCGGGTGGGAGGAACCCCTCCCCCACAGCCTGTTTTTGCTCCCAGGAGGCTGCAGGGAGGCCTACTAGACCCAAAACGGGGTGGGTGGGAGGAAACCCCCCCCCCACAGCCTGTTTTTGCTCCCAGGGGGGTGCAGGAGGCCGAGTGCTGCCTGTCACACCCACCATGGCCACGCCCACCCAGCCAGCCATTAGGGCAGAGAACCGGTTGTTAAATTATTTGAATCCCACCACTGAACAGCATTGAAAAAAGCGACTGATGACCATTTTTCACACTTACAACCATTCAGCATCCAAATGGACATGGGATCAGAATCAGATGCTTGGCAACTGACTCATATTTATTAAAAGTGTCACATTTATTTTACTTTTATTTTATTTCATCATATTTGTATACCACCCTACTCCCGGAGGACTCAGGGCGGTGAACAGCCAAGATAAAAATGCAAAGGACATACAAAAGTTAAAAACTATTAAAAATAAATTAAATAATTTGGGCTCAAAAAACAAATTTAAGACATCCAATTTATATAAAACATTTAAAACCCAATTTAAAAGGGAGAGTTAGGCCAGACCAGCCTGTTGGAATAAAAACGTTTTTAGGGCGCGGCGGAAGATAATCCCCTTTTGTAACTATCTGACAAGATAAATCAAGATAAATCAATGGGGACACCAAATTCACTTAATTCAATTCAAATCTTTACTGTCACTGCACAACATATGGGCAATGAGATTGGTGGAGCTCCCTCAGTGCACCCCCTCCCCCTCCAACACAATACAACTCACAGTGAAGACAGAAAATCCCTAACCTAATAAATCATATTAACAAAACACCCAGTCCTATTGCACCAGTGTGAACATGTTACACATTACCCCGGCCCTGCAGTCCATCATACTACGTAGTCATGATTTTATTTCTCATTCAGGAGTCTGACAGCCCACGGATTAAAAACTGTTCTTCAGTTTGTTTGTGTGGCTGGCTATACTTCTATATCTCCTTCGTGATGGTAGGAGGGTAAAGAAATGATGACTAGGGTGAGAGTCATCCCTGAGGATTTTCCTCACTCTTCCAAGGCAACGAGCCCTACATTACTATGTTAACTACGTTACTAAGTTAACAACTGCAGTGATTCCCTAACAACTGTGGCAAGAAAGGGCAAAACTCACTTAACAAATATCTCACTTTGCAACAGAAAGTTTGGGTTCTATCGTGGTCATAAATTGAGGGCTACCTGTAATTCTGTCATTTGGTTAAAACTGGGGTTGTGGAAGCCAAAATCCAAATGCCCAATGATAAAGAGAATCTTTTTTTTTAATTTTAATTTTTTATTTTTAAACAAACATACATAAAACCATCTTCAATTGCAAACTGTGTTGTTTGGTTACAAGTCTTTTGTGCATCATTCACCGAATTCATAGCTTACAATTTACAATTTACCTAGATTCTCATATCATCGATCTAATATATATCTATATATTGTTATCCTCATTAATCATTTATTTAACTATGACTATTTCTTCCCTCATTATCATTCAAAGTATTCTAAGATTTGAGTTAATTTTTATTATAACATTCATTTCAGCCTCCTGAATCTATCCAATAATAATACGTCTACATGTTATATTTCACATACTGTAGTTCTACAATTCTTGTATTGTGAAAGTCTCTACCATATTTCATTTCCATTTTTTTTTATCTAACCATTGATAAAATAGGTCCCATATCTTATAGTATTGTTTATCTTTTTGTTCTCTAATTTCAAATGTCAATTTGCTCATTTCAGCACATTCCAATATTTTCTTAATAACTTCATCCTGCGTTGGTATTTTCTCATTTTTCCAATTTTTTGATAAAGAGAATCTTTTGTATTGTTGGGAAATGAGTCAAATATCTGATGTTACTCTTGATTGTTCAGATCTCAAATAAGGGAGCAACTGTAGCTTTTCAGATGTACACATATCTCCTAAACTGATGGCCAGCATAGAATGATAGAAGCCACGATCTCTCATTTCTGCCTTTCAGCTAATTGCTCCAATTTTTGAAGATCCCTTTTCTTTCAGCTTCTTGCCAATTTGAGGAATGTGCACTTCAACAACAGTGCGGGAGATGAAGTCTCCTTCTCACAAAACGG